TACCAAATCATAATTACTTAAATGGCCCGCATTTTGGTAGATAAGTCCTCACATATTACATTGTATTGAAAAAAATGAGATGTCTTTTATTTTATATCCTTAGTATAGACAAGTCTCAATTTTATTATTGCTAAGGAATAAACTTTATGAAATAACTAACATGTCTACTATTATATTTCTAGGGCCTCATGGAAAGTGAATATTTCTTCTTGTACTTTAAAAGATGAATAATGTTTTGCTATCTAGCAAAATGCTAAGACCAACAATTTACATTGTGTTGGATCTTATTGTATCCTGTATTTGGATGATTAATATCCTAAATGAGTTATTTAAAAGTTCGTATGAGTCAATGACCATTTTGACTCATAACCTGCTTAAATATGCATTTTCTTTTGCATTTATTAGATGCAATATAATATTTTCTCTCGTTTTTATAGCGAGTTTCTATGTGAAAACCTATTGAGGTAATCGGTGGACATTGATGTCCTCACAATGTGAGGGTTCGAGGAAGCCCCACAAAGGTGTATAAGGCAACTCTTGCTACTTTGACAAGTGTTCGCTCATAAGACTTGGACCCATGACATGGTTTCATTCTATGTGAAAACCTTTGTGATGAACAAATTTCGAATGTCTTAAACTTCGGCGACTTTTAGATGCATTTAGAGGCCATGGGTACAATTCTATTCATTTAGATATGAAATATGTAGACATTTCATTGCCTTAATCAATCATAAATGAAAATCAAGAATTAATTGATAGATAAATGTGCATTTCTTAGTTTATTTTGTATGACCACAATTGGTTAGAACACTTATTTGTTGAAGGTCATAATAATTTGCAAATGTCGCTCATATAATTTAGAGGCCTATTATCTCAAACAAAATGAGGTACATATCATTCTGATATTTTATGGATATGTTTCTTTGTATCCATTCTGTTGAGAGCAACATTCATAGATATGCACTTAATGAATCTAGATGCATAAACATATCAAACATAATTTGAAGTAAAACAAGGAGATGTCAAATCAATGTAAACATTCAAACGAATACACATAATTTATAGCAAACTTTAAGACTAAACTAAAAGTCTAATAATTAGAAGTAGCAATGTCCATGTTTATAAAACTCACAAAAATGGTTAAATCCAATCATTAGAGAAAGTTCTTATTCTCAACATAATGAACATTCATAAGTCCGAATTCATATCTACTCACTCGAGCGGTGAATCTCTTGTTCTTCAGAGGTTCTTTGTTGCTCCGGCCAATGCATGTACAATTAATGGATTTTACCTAGGAAAAATTGATTGTAATAATCCCAACTATTGACGGTTCGCTTATAATAATCTCAACTATCGATTATCTCAGAATAATCCCAACTTTAGTGACCTTCCACCAATAATGGTCCATGACCAGATATGACCTGCTATAACAAGTGGATTTTAAATAGAAATAAAGCGTAAAAATTAAAAGTTGAATTATTAATAGGGATTACTTGTTATATATCTTCTCATCCACTTTAGAAACTATAGGAATTTATTTATAGCCGGTCATGTCGGACCATTATTCGCGGAAGCTCACTAAAGTTGGGATTATTCTGAGATAATCGATAGTTGGGATTATTATAAGCGGACCGCCAATAGTTGAGATTATTACAATCAATTTTTCCTTTTATCTAATATTCATATCACTATAGATATTCCTTGGAAGTTTCTTTATTCGAGAATTCGTTATATGTCACTATACACGATAAAATAGATAAAATGATCGATTGACATATGCCAACACAAAAGTAAACTTATTGGGCGGCATACTTTACCATATACTAGTTCATTAGTATAAGTGTAGGGATACACATAACAATGGAAATTCTCTTTGTATCAAATAAACATGAAAGAATGGCTAAAAGAAGACTGGAGTCTTCAGTGGACAAATGTGTGAGCAGTACCGATTTGGACAAAAAATTGACCAAAATTGGGCTAAAATGTCTTAAATACCTCTACTCTTAACCCCTAATTTCAACCCTTGCCCCATCAACCTTTACACCCTAGACTTCCAGAGACATCCTCATCCTTGCGCCCAAACATCGTCCTCACCAATTATCTGCATCATCTCATTGCTCGACAATGGTGGCTTCGATTAGCGGGTGATTTCTTTTTTTACGGGAGTGCCGCACATAGGTTGCCGAAATGCGAGACTTTTTTTAGGGTTTCTAAAAAAACGGGAAACGTGTTCCATGAATCCGAAATATGTAGGGTTTTAGGTGGGAAGTTAAAAAACGGATTAGATGAATCCGAAATATGTAGGGTTTTAGGTGGGAAGTTAAAAAACGGATTACATGAATCCGAAATTTGGTTTTAATTTTTTTGCAAACTGCTGGAAGATGTTGCGGGAGGTGTAGGGAAAGTAAAAAAATGAATTATTTAATTTTTTAATTTTTTTTAATAGACTTCTTAGGTTTTTTAGATTGGTTAGTTACATTTTTTTCAAAGAGGAAAACACAAATATTTCAATAAAAATTTGTGAGTGGGATAAATAATAGAGCATATGAAGCATAATATGTAAAAAAATAAATAATTTAGTGATATTTATAGTTGGAAAGATGTGTATTATTTTATTAATTAAGAAATAATCAACTGTTATGTTAGAGATTGTAATAGTGAATATACATATTTAATTATATTGTATTACGAATTTATTCAATGTTCCCGCAAAATTAAATAATATAAATATTTCATTACTCATTTTTCTTGAACAACAACATGACAAAGAAATACAAATTTTTATTCATTGAAAAAGAGTTACAAAATACATATAAATTTTTACTCTTGTGCTCTCCTACTCGGACGCATATCCATTTCATTTGTAAATCGTGTTCTTTGAGGCCTACCGGTTTGACTGCGTCGAGCACTTTGAGGCGGTATCACTACATATCCGGTATCAGACATCGCACTTACGTCATGCATAGGCATAATATCTGTAGCATACGTACGGATGTACGCACGTAATTTATACACGTCCGGGATGAGATGATCTACAGTTATTTCTAAGAAATGGCATGTTGCATAGGCGTGCACACTTGGAAATCCATTTTGCTTCCAAAAACCGCAATCACATTCGCAACGTGAGAGATTTACCGTTACCGGCGGATAATCACGGATGGAAACAGAGTATATTCCCGTTGTTCGGTTATGCGGGACAATAGTGCACTAATGTCTTTTCTGCGAACGTTCAAGAATATCTTTCCATATATTTTGCGGATATAGGAACCCAGCTTGCCGCCACATCTGACCGGCCCTACGTCGATCGGCAAATAGTTGGACAACTTTGTTATAAGTTGCCTTAACCAGCACGGTGATTGGAAGTGTTCGACATCCCTTTAGAACGTTATTGAAGCTCTCGGAAAGATTTGTTGTGAGGATGCCGTAACGTCGTCCATCGTCGAAGCACAGTGCCCAATTTTCACGTGGAATAGCGTTCAAATACGTGAACGCATTCTCATTCGTAGCACGAATTTGAGCCATTGTTTTGTAAAATTCACTCACCATGGGTGTACTCTCGGCCTGCCAACAGAGCTTTTTCAGTTCAGTGCTCCTGAATTTTGTCATGAAATTGCTTCTAATGTGTCGGAGGCAGAACCGCTTCGAAACTTGGGAGGTTTTCAATTGAGGTACTGATTGATAGGCACTTAGGATGCCAGGGTGTCGATCTGATATTATGCACACATGCCGATTTGGTCTGACAACATAAGTCATAATGTGTTCCAAAAACCAGGACCAACTATTTGTGTTTTCACTTTCCACAACTGCGTACGCGAGAGGGAAAATCTCACGGTTAGCATTCATGGCGACTGCAACCAAGAGATGACCCTTGAACTTTCCGTACAAGTGAGTACCGTCAACAGATATTACGGGCAGACAATGTTCAAACCCATCAATGGAAGCTTTAAAAGCCCAAAACGCACGATGAAATTCATACGTACCATCATGACTGGTTGGTTTTGGTTGGAAATCTACCACTGACCCCGGATTTGATTCTCTTATCGCAAGCAACAAATTGGGTAAATCATTGTAGGCCGCCTCCCAGTTCCCGAATCTTCGTTCAAGGGCAATCAAACGTCCATACCACGCCTTTTTGTACTTGACATTGATTCTGAATTTGTCGTATATGTCTTGCATCACGAGTTTAATGCTGTAGTCCGGATCAACATGCACTTTTGTAGCGATTACACTCGCTATGATCTTGCTCGTCATAAGCCTGTCATTACGGGCTCTTTTATAATCCACTCTGCAGTTGTGTAGTGGTTGATATTTTTTCACCTTCCACAAATTGGTGTTGAGAAGGTTTCCCGCCTGAATGTGCCACATACACATGTCATCATAGATGCAAACTGCCTTCCACGATCTCACACGTTTGTCTTCTGTCTTAAAAATTCGAGATTGCCGAATATTTTCTATTGCTACGGCTTCTTTCAGTTAGTCGTATGAATCATATATTTTGCCGACCGCAATAGTTTCATTATTACGATTCGCTGGTTCAACATATGGTTGTTCCAGCTCAATATCGGCCCATGTTGTGTCATGAGCGTCATCACTATCGTCAGAATTTGTTGTTGCATCGTCATTTCCAGAAAATTGTTCATAATCTGGATCATCTTCCTCTTCATATGCTGTTGAAGGGCCATCTTCATGTTCAACATAACCGCGTCCGTAACGCCGACCTCTAGTGGCCGCGACTCTTCTACGGTCTTGCCGAAGTGGAGGATGATCATCCACTGCATCATCATGGGCATCCCCATAGAAAATGATGTCTTGATGAAGCACATTCTCGGCACCTAATCCTGTAAGGCATCGTGCAATTTGCTCGCGAATGTCTTCGACGTCAAATGGAGCTGCCATGTGCCGATAGATATCGCCCATACATTGCATCTAAAATTCAAAAGTAAAGTTATTAAATAATAATAAACATTTCTAAGTTGAATAATTACACATAAAATACTTAATAGTGTACTTGTCTCCCTGTTAGTAGTTACATAACCCGTTGTAGGTCGACCATGTAACGGATTGCAAATCCGTCGTTTCCCGACATTTGCGTACCATTCACGGTACGCAGGAGTGTAGGTGGGATGATCAACGAACTCAAATGCGATACGACGATTGTGCCTCACCGCCCATAGTGTCAATGGCCATCCAGAATTTTTTGCACCCCTTGCATGGTGGCTAGCTTGTGATTCCGCTGCGGGAGGAATATGTTGCATTGCACCGAATTGACGACAAAATCTACCGGGGTAGTACATCTCATAAATGTCACAATATATAAGCATGACATTAGATGTCCACAAATCTACTCCCGCGACGCAGAACCTGGGGAGGGCTTGTAATGCGTATGGGAGCCGCACGAACCGGATCAATATTATTTGAAGTTAATTCAAAAACATATTTATTTTCTATTAAACTAAAATGATATTGTTAATTATAACCTCGTTCTCTCGGATCCCGTCCAACTGATCTCGATAAATACGTAGAGTATACCGAGAACTTTGTTCCCAATTGTGCCGACATGCCCACCTTCATAAAAATAAGTTATTATACCATGACCTACAAATATATTTAATATACTAATACTTATTATGTAAAATTTCAAATTATACATGCACCCATAGGGCATATCCTGTAGATTCTCATATGGCAAAACGTTTCGCGGCCACACCATGGGCAATCTCTCCCACGCCCAAATCTGCAATAGAAGCAAGCATCCCCCAATATTTCTCCTGTTCACTTTGGCGGCCTTGCACATGTTGTAATACAGGAACCCCAATACTGCTGAGCCCCAACTCCACCGTCGTGCTTCACCGAGCGGTCCCTGCAACAACTCTAAAAAGTACAATTTGTTATGTAATATGTGGATGTCCATTATGATATCTAGCCCATTAGTATTGTTAGAGTCCAGCCCATCCCATATGTAACCCTATCCCCGGTTCCCCTTGTATATATACATGTACATGTTAATGAGAAGGATGATTGGATTGGGACCATCACACGTTATCAGCACGACTTGCTCTAAAACCCTAAGACTTTTCTCCTTTCTTTTGTCACGATATTTTCTCTACCGCCCGTTTTTCTTTCATCCCAATGGCGCCGCCGCACCGCGTGAAACAGTTGCCGACATTGCATTGTGCCAGCAATCCTTGTTGCTGTTGTTTCTACGCATCCCTTATTTTCGCTCTTTCCAATCGGTCATCGCCCCTTTGACCACACACACAAAAAAAATGGTTCGCACATCCTTAGGATTGGTTGAACGTCTGCCTGATCACTGCTATGAGGCCATCAAAGGCGTCCTGCGCAGCCCGAGTTATTCACCGGCCAACATCGTTCTTTTACAGGAGATCAACGACCTCCGGTTTTTCGGCTTGTCTTCTTCTACTGCCATGCAATCACTAGTCGGAATTGAATTGTAATAGGCTGATGCCGTAGGCCGCACCCCAGTAAAACAAAAGCAAGAGGGGAACCGACGGCACACGTGTTGGACTTCCCAACATAGTGATTCTCATCAGGTTTTTCTTTTTGCTTACTTTCCTTGATTTTCTTCAAATTCGAAATGAAACGTAATATACATGGATATTTTTAAACATTCACCGAAACTGGCTGGCCGACTTAGAAAATTCCTTGCCAAGTCTGATATAGCAATAATTGATTGATGATTTTTATTTTTTTATAATAAACCTAGCTATAACACACTCAATTATTGGAATATGTGAGTGCCTAGCACTAGGCGAACTGAGTTTTATTTTTAATGAAATTTGATCTATTTTATAATTCTATTTTTTTTAACTAGATTGAGAAATGAAAAATAAAAGAGAAATGGATATGAAAGTTCATGTGTATAGATGCATTTCTGGGATAAAATATTATGGAGTATATACTACGCAAATGTTTTCACAAAACATGAATCATTAGCTCATGTGTTAAATTTTGTGTGATAGTATATGCTATTGTTCCGATTCTAATGTTTTGATTCTCCAATGTTCACCAATTGATTAGTAAGAAAATCATACTGCTTCTATGTGTGTATATGCCTGTGAATTAGTGATCATCTATACCAACATTTTTGTGACCTTATAATATTATGATTTTGGAATTAACAAGTGATTTTTTTTTATCTTAAATCATATGAAGGCCGGGGTAAGAATAAACGTTTTAGGAATTTGATCTATTTTTATGTGAATGGGATAGTAAAGAAGTGGACTAAAGGCTCAAACAATAAGAAGGAAAGTCATTTTTTTTATTAAATTAGTTTTTTTAGTGGCATTTATTAGTCAATTGAAAAATATAACTCCTACGTATTTATTGCCAATAACGGTTAGAGAATGGCATTTACTTGCTCTATTAATGATATAAATTGAATTTAATTAGCATATATATTCATCATTATTATCCTTTATGACATTTAAGTTCAATTGTACTATTTAGTACTGCATGTGTCGGTACACGATATGTTTAACATGGTATTTTTGTTTTCAAAAACCGTCTGCTCTAAAAATAAAAGCGTATTGTGAGTACGTTTTATGGAGTTTTTTTATGCCATGATAGTATTTACTTGAGTTAATATTGGTTGCATCATGAATTTTTTATAATATGGAATTTAATGACATTTATTGGTCAATATCAGTTACGGAATAGCAATTATTTATCCAATTAATGGCATGAATTAAATTTAGTTGGAATAAAATAATATCGATAAAAAAAAAGGTTTAAAATTCAAACGTTTTAGAATGTATCTCTACGTGAGATGCCAAAAGTTTAGGAGATACCATTAAAATGACCAATACAACATTCAAAGAAGATAAGGCTAAAACAATATGGATTAATATTTTTCAGTCACCACCTCCCCAAAGATTTGAAATGTCAATATTTAACTGCAGTTAATGGACGTACTTAAGACTATACAATTTTGAGACTGTAGTTGATTATGACTCTCTCAAGAATTTTAGAAATATGAATTTTGTTGCTTTTAACTAGACATTTATGTTGATTGTTAAAGTTTAGTATGAATAATATTTATTCATAGGAGATTTAAATGGTTTTAGTAATCTTACTAATTTATCTGAAATCGTAATTTGAGAAATTTATACATCATTATTGGTTAGATGATACATATTTGATATAATCACAAACTGAATCTTATACTCCGCATGAGATATCAATTAAGTCTCGCTCCAGTAGTAGCATTTTCTAAAGTTGTTTTGAGATTTATTATTTAATATGCTCTTAGTAGCACTTCATCAACTTGATCATGTATGATGGATATGCTTATCAATTTGTTAACATTTCATTGCCTTTCCAATGCTTATTTGTATTATTATAAATATTATCTCATGCTACTTTGAGCTAATGTAAGCATTAAGAAAAATGCATCGGAGGTTCCAGGTACGTGTCACATCTCTATTAGAAATATGGTCATTTTTTTGTACATAATATGATTACATTTATATGAGAAACTTGATTGTTCGAATATTAATCGATAAGTTAATATGACTCATATAACTTCAATGTTGTATAAAACATTCAAGGAAGTGATATAGTTTAAGAAAATGCATGATTAACAAACATGATGTAAATTTTAACTATATTTGAATCATAGTTAAATATTGCTATGGATACACAAATAATGCTTAGTAAATCACACGTTATTGTAATTATGTAGAATGATTTGCTCAAATTAATCTATTTGATAGGGGGAGAAAGCAAACAAAATTTCATAAATAGATATATGAAATTATAACAAAATGCCAGAAGTCACTATAAGAGCATATATTTGACGTACAAGTGAGTATATTTTGAACCCGAAGTTCACACATCGCTCACACATGATATAGTGTACGCATTTATAAGCAAAGCCTGAAGCCCTTCTTGTGGATGAGTTTTAAAGCCGTGAGGTCCTGAAGTACCAAACCGAACAATATCCACAAGGCATTTTATTACATGTCAAGGCAAATTTTAAGAAATTCATTCAAGTGAATACTTTGAGACAAGTATTTAAGTATTCTTTAACAAATTTGATTATTTGATACCTTTTATGTTACTCTAGAAGTAGCATTATCTAATCTTTAGACTCTCCATATACATTTCTAGGTGAGTGATTCGTATTGTTTCTATGAAAGTAAGAAATCACTATACAAATGATTGTTTTAGAGACAAATTATTTTTGTCTTAGGGATGATATAACGCCTGAAGCATGTATATACTTGTGGCATGGAGCCTGAAATATTTTAACTTTTGATAGTCATACAAATTAAGGATAAAAAGTAATGGAAGCACAAATTATATTTATAAACATGTTGTGCACATAAATAATAATGATAAAATCTCAGGCATTGAGTGTAAGCTCAAAGAAGCTACTCAAACACTACGAAGTAATAATTTTAAAAGTGATATCATACTTATTGGGTGATAGTTTGAGACCATACCAATGCAGTGTAAATTGTGTTTCCATAATATCTGCCTGTAGCAGAATTCTCCTCACACTATACTATATATACTTGAATAATCTAAACATGTGTTGCATGAAGTTTAATTTTTTTTTGAATAAATGACCAATTTAAGGTCAACCCAGGTTTAAACCAAATGCCGTATAAGACATCCAGTATATAAATACTTCTTAGATAAGAAAATGACACGACCGTCTCTTCTCCCAAATATTTTATAAGTGGATCCATGGGAGTTAAGTGAACTCGAAGTTTCACAATGTGGGTTAATATCAAGTTTGGTCTCAAGATATACTCCCCTAAAAAGCCTACATATAATGAGTGATATAAGACCATTTTGCCGGCTTCTATGAAATATAGTGACGAGCATAAGGTAACCCACAAAATATATCTAGCATAATAAGATGAATGTTAAGCCTGAGATAAACTGCTATAAAGTTGCTTGAATATATGAAGAAAGTCTAGTTTATATTAATTCGACATTTTTTAATAACAAACCCCCAAAAGTTTACACGTTGAAATGAGCCAAAGTGTGCCAATATTGAAACCCCATTTTCGAAATGATATACTTGGACCCCAGAAGTGGCTCCATATAAATCCTTGTTCAAGAACATTATGGCACATTTCCCGACATTAGGGGGAGATTATTATAAAGGCATGAGCATAATTATATTTTGGAATGTCGGGAAAATAACCCAGAAGGATTGAATGACATGAAAAGAGAAACGTGTAAAATATGATAAGTAAACTGCCAAAGTGACTAATAGAAATGATCATGAAGTTTGAGCTCAACCAATGCATGAAGCATGGTTTGACGGTCATTATGTGTATACAAAATGAAACCATATTTTATTACAGTAAGTCACTTATGCCTCTATAAGAGGATGATATAAGTTAAATGCTGCAGTTGATAAATTATAGAAATTCTATGATATAGAACATGAGTTCTTCTTTTGTGGCTCATATAGAGGATTTTGATGAAACAGGAATCATAGTGATTAGATTGACGTCAATGATTTATTTTTCCAAAACTATCGATTCATAATCCACAATAATAAAGTCTGGCCAGACGAAATATGATGGACCTGTAGTCCTAAATTGTTTTGAATTATGATCGATGTTTATGGATGAGAAAATATTTTATATTGGGCCTGAAGTCCCATGAATCAAGATATTGTGTACGTGGGGTTACAATACTTGAGATTGAATGATTTTGAGACTACATTCCTGTTATAGTTTAAAGTTCTGTAAATGTGGCAGTTGATGAAAAAATTGGATGTCGTTGTTATAATATTAATTGTGTGTCCCTGAAGGACAATGGTGAAAAGAAATATGTGCACACAACATGCAACATGAATATGAATTCTTTTATGTCTAGAAAAGGACATT